CACTCTGGACTAACACATTTCATATCCTCTCCAGTTCACACATTTTTCATTCCACTTTTCCCTATCCAATTACCGTGATCCCTCATCTACGTCGACAAACAAGCCTTTCACCAGATAAGCGCATTTTAAATGTCACCTCGGCTGGTGATGGAATATCGTTTCGATGCTTTGATTTTGTCCGTTTCTATTTATTCTTGCTTTGCCCTCGACACTTTCATTTATATCGCAGCTCTCTTTGTTGGTTCATTATCAATTCCGCGATCCATATTGTTCCTTCACCCATATTGCCCTATCTAGGTGGAGACTCCTCATCGTTACCCCCACCCACTGTTCCACCTGCAGCTGAGACCACTGTCACTACGACTTCTCAGGGGAATGAGCCTGCCGCGGTGGTGCCAGTCTCCAACCCCTCAACCGGGTTGTCCAGTACCCCATCCATTGTCAGCCAGTCCGATAGTCGTCCCTTAGTGGAAATGATGCAAGCCATTTTCAGCTACAAAGCTGCTCACGCAGATGAACTCACTTTTGAAGAGGGTGCAATCATCACGGTCCTCGGTCGGGACGAACCAGAATGGTGGCGAGGTCGATTGCAGTCGTCCGGCGCTGAAGGATTATTCCCGGTTAATTATGTCCGTCCTTACGCGGCGCCAAATAACAACACAAAATCATCCCACGCAGGTGCTCAACGCCTGATTCAGCAAAATGCGACTCCACGTAAGTTGTCAGTGAAGTAAAGAGACCTTTCGGTTGACCATATGTACACATACGCGGTTTTATTGTGCTCTTTGCTATTGGTTTGTCTGCTATCAATCTCCTTGAATTTGTTTATTACACACCTTTTATCTGATGAACAGCAGAAGAGGTAAGCCTCGTAGTCAAAGGTACCTGCTGTTCACTCAGATAATCCGGCAGCCTCAGCCCCGCTATTTGGAGTGGCAAACCACGTAAAGCTCCGCTAGGTTAGATGTGGTATTGAGGTGGACGACAATGGAGCTGCCTGCCACCAAAGTTCGTTAACATTGGTGCGGTTCGAACATCGGACCCTGGGACACAAAGCACACCGGTGACAACAACTTAACCTAGTTGACCACCACCACTGCGCAAATTCTAATGCCGGTTTGGACAAAACCTTCCATTTGTAACATGTGTCTGTAAGGCTTATTCATGCCAACTGCAGTTACCTCAGTCTATGGAGAACAGATTAACCATAGTATTCTTGAAGTTTCGATCATGAAACGTGTTCTATTCAACGTGCTTTCATATGCTTTTACACACCCCCACACATCACACTCAATTCTTCTAATAATAATGGAAAAATCGACGCATTTTTAGTGTCCCGTTCTTTCTTGACACATCAAAACCACTCATTTCTTTTCTATATTCTCTGATACTCTTTTGGTTATTTTTCTCTCTCCTCAAACTACCACCATGTACACACAGGATTCCTTTTGCACGTCGCTCCCCATCCTAGCAACATTCCTATATTTCTCCGTAACCTAGCAGCACGATCATCGTTATTATACAGCGGGAACTAGCATAATCGTTTCTGATCAGCATCTTGAGACCGCTGTTCAAGAGCCGAATTCCCTATATAACTCTTTATTATCAGTGATCATAACTCAATCCTTAAAAGAACATTTGCGATGAAATTGGGCTACCGCTACCCATCTGTATGCGATCAGAAATAATGTTGTGGTGTTTATAAAATCGTTCCGTTCGGCATTCTATGGGTAAGGTGTATGTTACGACGGATATTTTGCCCGATTGAGATGTATCACATACCTTGGACTAGTTCACCTTCAACCAGTGCCAGTAGTTGAATCTGTTGATCTTTCGTTTGTTACTTGGGTATTACCGAAATTTCATTGTACAGCCTGTTTATGGTAATTTGTATGTATATTCTTGTTTCCTTGTTTGGGTTACACATTTTACTTGTGTTATATCATGAGCGGAAGGAGATCCTCCATCGGACTTACGTTGTGGATACTGTTACTGACAGCACAAGCCTTGTACCACACTACACACGTTGTCAGAGGAATATCTGGTTGTGAAATAAATAAATTTTCGTTCGCAAAGGACCCCATCTGGTCAACGGAAAAAATGATGAATTCGTCTCCCCCCTCCCTCATATTGAACCGTATTGAGAACAAAACTACAGTCTTATTGTTGCTGAATAATTGAAAGTGAAATTTCATTGTTTCCATTGGCTTCAAGGACTTCATGTGTTCCATCTTGCGTCCTTTCGACTGTTAAGCTCCTGTCTACAGTGTCGGGAGTGCAAAATCACCCTTGTTTAACTTGCTCAGTTGGGTAAAGTTTTCCCTGTGTGACAGGGCGTTGCTGGAGAAAACCAGGGCACTTCACCATTGAATTATTTACAGTGCTATTAGTCCCCCAAAATACTTGTTGTATAGTTTCGATTGATCATCATTGACCAGTTAGATCGGTATTCGTTTTCCCAGATTGTTGTTTTCTTCATTTGATACTGGGTTTCAGTACGATTTGTTGGGTAGTCCTGTTCAGTTCAGTTCAGTTCAGTTCTTACAACCATTAACCGTGCACTTTCGTGTGCCGGTTTTGGTTACCCATTTGGATAAGACAGCAGAATGACGATTAGAATGTTGAGAGCAGATTCAAGCGGAAGATAGCGCAGTTACATAGACTGAAGTTGTGGGAATAATGAGTAGATACACGAATGCCATCGTTTGCGACACTCAACTATATCACTCAGCGTCTCTAACCACCGGTTACCATGACCTCGGGGTCGCCAGCCAGGGAGCCTAACGGGACCTATGTGAGCCAGTCTCCTGGTCAGAGCTTTCATACCCTCTCAGTGTGACCGTCAATGGACGACCTCGATTACCCAAAACTCTACGCTTAACCTCAGCATTGCTCGTCCAGTTTCCCCACCAGGCTGGTGCAATGCTACGTAGACAGCGGGGTTCGAATACCGACAATCTATTTTTTCCTGTCCATACCGATTTACAAGATGGGTGACAGGTCCTCTTGTGAAAACCACAGAGGAATTAGGAATTGCCTCTAAACTTCTCGCCGCTGGTCCTGTAATTTTCCTTATGAACACTTGTCGTTTTCCCGAACGATATTGGCAGGCACCGAAGACTTTCCTGGTAGTCTTCGATCTGGCAAGTCTGGTGTCCGGGTTCAACATGGATTCATGAATTCATCAAGAAGCAATTGAATATCCGGAAATGCAGAAGGCTTTATTGAACGCAGCGAAGTTCACCGATACTGGTTAATTGACGTAGTTAGGTTGAAAAATGTGTCAACAGGACAGGTCACTGCCGTGCTACATACGGGACTGCTGCTGTGCTTAGCTGCCCTGCAAGTTGTGCGTCCACTCATTCAACTCACTGTTGGTTTTTGCCTCATTCATGTTTTCACCTTCGTTCCACTTTTTTTCTTCCCGAAATCTAACCTCCGAACAGTTCTTTTTACACAAATATGCTGTTTCACTTTGTCGGAAAATGCGTCGCGAAGTGAATTTCCCGGGGCTGTGTTTATACCTTTGTGTGTTGATGCCCACCTGTCCAATGCAAAAGACGTGCATAATGCTGCTGAAATCCGGCCTCCTCATTGATTAATATTATTCTTTTAATTGCGCAACTAGTTAGTGAGCAGCAGAAGAGAAAAGCTCCGCAGCCACAGGGATCTATTTACTGTTCATTAGTGAATATCATCAACATAGGGTCTGTGATTTTGGATTTGTAAACGGTAAAAAGCATCAATATAATATTGAGCTGAACTGTGACGTATTTGCATACCATCAGGATTGGGTGGTGGTGGTGGTGGGGATAGAAATGAGAGAATGTTCTATTCAAACCTTGAACCAAAGGGCCCAAATCTGATAGATGATAGCGACCATTATCCTCTTTCCAAGATAGTCCTGTTTGAAGAAGCTGATTGCCTCGAGGGCATTTTTTTCCATCGGTAATATTGTAGGTCAGTGTATACGAGTATAATAAGCATCCAATAAATCGCTCACTCCCGTGTCCGTTTTTTTATTGGCTATTGGCATTTCAGCTACTTTCTTTGTACGGGGATCACAAAATACTTGTGCTGTTCTGTTCCGCGAATCCCAGTTTAATCATTTCCTACTACACAGTAAAGTAGTAACACGTCATCTGAATCACTCCTCATCGTATGCTATCGTCATGACGTTGGTGTCACTTGGAAGTACGTCTCAAATGATAAACGTCTTGCTTTGAATAGAAAAATATACTTTGTGT